TCAATGATCATTGCTGATGAAAGTCAGAGAATGACAGCAGGTTCATATTCAGGAACTGAATTGGGTGAATCATCAACTGCTCTCTATGTAGGAAGTTCAAGCTCTGGGAGATCTAACTATAATTCACAAAATACTAATCTAGGAAGTAGTGGTTATGGTGGTTATCAGCAAGCTGGGAATAATGTCGATTACAACAGTCAGAATGTTTCTCAAAGGAACAAAAAGAACTATAACTTGCAATGTGAGGTTTGCAAATTGAAAGGGCACACCAAGGAGACTTGTTACAAAGTAGTTGGGTACCCTCCTGGTCAAAAGTCTAGTGGGACAAGGATGGCACATGATGTTGATTGTGATGATCCTTTTAGTGCAGCTGTACAAGGCCAAGGTATGCAGAATATGCAACATTTCATGGAGTAGCTTGCATTTACAAAGGAGCAGTATAGTCAGATACTGAAGTTGCTGAGCAGGGAGAAGTGCACTGAAGAACCACCAACAAACACAACAGATGAAGCTCATATGGCAGGTATTGCACATACTTTTATGGTAGCTATTAATAATGATAGTGTTCACAGACGCTGGATAGTGGATTCAGGAGCAACTAAGCACATTACCTCAGATATAGATGCATTGTTTGACATATGTGTATTGCCAAATAGAAAGCAGGTTCATCTACCTAATGGACAGACTACCACAATTTCTCATGTTGGAAAGTATAAGTGGGATGGTAGAGATGTCTTAAAAGATGTGTTGGTGGTGCCTGATTTTAAGTATGATTTAATGTCTGTGTCACAGTTCACTAAACAACTGCAGTGTTCAATCAAATTTTTCCCTGAGTTTTGTGTGTTTCAGGACCTCTCCACTGGGAAAGTGAAGGGGATTGGTAAGGAAACTGGAGGTCTCTATATTCTGCTAGACAACAATAAGCATCATGACACCAATAAAGGACCAAAGTTAATGGTTGTTAATGTACAAAATGCTAGAGAAGACATGTTGTGGCACAAAAGATTGGGTCATCCATCTATGAATGTTCTCAGGAAGATGTCATTGACACTGGTAGGACAGGACAACATCATTAGGGATATATGTAAAGTTTGCCCTCTGGCAAAACAAACTAGGCTGCCATTTTCTTTGAGTTGTACTAGAAGTAGAAGTATCTTCGATATGGTGCATTTGGATGTATGGGGTCCCTATAAAACAGCTACTCACAATGGTTTTAGATATTTTCTGACATTAGTTGATGATTACAGCAGGATGACATGGTTGTATTTGCTCAGATTTGAAATCAAATGTTATCACTATATTGAAGAAGTTTTTGTCAATGATAAAAACTCAATTTGCAGCTTTTGTGAAGATTTTTAGGTCTGACAATGGAAGTGAGTTTTTTAATAAAGAATGCAACACTTTGTTTGAATGTTTAGGAATCATACATCAAAGTAGTTTTCCTCACACACCACAACAAAATGGTGTTGTGGAAAGGAAACATAGACATATACTAGAAGTAGCTAGAGCTGTCACGCCCCGAGCCTACACCCTGGGCGGGAACGGCACCCGGAGACCATTTCTGGCCCCAAGCGAACCCTTGGCCTAGCTTTCTTAACTCAGCGGAAACCTAACTCAACAGAATAACTCAATGCAAACACAAGGTTACAAACAACTTAACTTATAACATATGGCCACAAAGGCAACTCAAATCTCAAAATAGGATATTTACATATTTACATAAATGAGAGACTCAAGACTAACTGACTGACTGTCTATGAAGCCTCTAAAATACTGAGATGGATGTTGGGACAGACCCCGCAACACCCTAATAAAATAAAACTAAGAACACAAAATAATTGAGTCCTCCGGAATGCAAGGAGGCTCACCATTGACTCTAGAGTGCTCAGCTGGATCAACGACGTGCTGGATGCTGATCCTGGGTACCTGTGTCTGCATCGTCATAAGATGCAGGCCAACTGGCATCAGTACATTGAATGTACGAGTATGCGAGATGGAAAGCTAAACCACAACTTAAGCTTGAAAAGAGTACAAGAGAACACTTACCTGGCTCAACTCAACTCAACCTGACTGACTTCTTTCAATATAAGGCAATTTAAAACAAGTGCGATATAAAGAAAGACTGTTTAAAACCTGCTATATACTCTCTGTGTATACAAAGATACAATAAGCCTGAGATGTATATAGAAATACAAATGAACTGATGTATATAAAAATATAATACTTTCTGTGTATGAAAATACAATAATTGTTGTGGGAGTTTCTCTAACAGACAACCATCACTTAGAGCTACAGTGATGATACATCGATCAACCTCACGCTGCCAAAGCATCCTATACCCGGCCAAAGGTATAAGACCTGAACTGCCTAATGGATCCACTAGTCTATCTGGAAAAGGATTCATCTAAAAAGTATGATCCTTTTCTACCCATGGTGGCCAACATGGTTCTATGGGGGCTATGGGTTCTTTGAACGCTCCCCCAATTCGGTGCTCGATACTACTCCCAAAAAAAAGTATTGTCTCTTATGTTTTTTTAAAACATATGTCTTCCTGCTGATTTGAGATAATTACTCAAAAACTAGACTGAAGGCTCTTTGGAAATCTCAGTTTCCAACCTTGTTTAAAAGTAAAAACATTTCTTTAAAACTTCTTTGGGAATACATAGTTCCCTAATAACCTTGAGAAATGAACTCAACTTTATGTTCTTGACTTAACTTGAAACTCTATACTATTTTCTTGACTTGCAACTTGAGCCTTAGAATGAAGTTAACACGTTCAATACAGACTCTTGAACAACTTTAAAGACTTGCTTTGACTCACTTCTTTAACTCCTAGACTTAACTCTTAATTTCACTTGACTTGGAAACTAACTCTCCTTGAATTGGAATTTGGATTCAAGGTATATGATCACACATTTATGGATGACTCCTTGACGTTTAGAAGTACTTTGGAGTGTTGGAAACAACTTGGAAACATAGGTACAATACCAAGGAACATGCATGAGAAAGTATGAAAAGAATTGGGGAACTTGGCGTCCTTGGCGCTCTGCAAGGCGCGGAGCGCCAGCCCTTGAAGCTCAGAAGGGACCTGCTGGCACTCTGCTAGGCGCGGCGCCCCAAGGGGGAAAGTTTAGAACACCTTTTGGGGCGCGCTGGCAGGCGCGACGCGCTAACCCTTTCCCTAGAAAACTCGACTTTTCTTCCTCTTTTTTCCAACTCTAAACCACCCTAACTTCAAGGGTTTCAACTCCAAACACTAAGGATCATAAAAATCCCTCAACATACAAGATATTCAACTCAAAAACACAATCAAATCATGTACTAAATCAACAAGAACTTCCAACAACACAACCAACAACTTCAACAACACAAACCAACAACTTCAACAACACAACCAAGATTTTCTTGGAAATAAAATGAGTTTGGTGTGTGGGGGAAAAGATCAACCCAACACTATGAACTGACATACCTAGTAGGGATCACCCCCGACGATATCCACGATGATCTTTGACGAAAACTTGTTTGATCTCCTCTTTCTTCTCTTCTTCTCCTCTTCTTCTCCTCTTCACTCACAAGCCCTAGCTCTCACTCTTTTAAAATGGGACAAAATGATCCAAAAGTCATCCTAACACAACAATATAACCCCAAAAGAAATAGCTAGGGAAAAGACCAAAATGCCCTCTAAATTTCCGGACGGATTCCCTGTCAACTTCCCAACTTTCAAAGGGCATAACTTGCTCATAAAAACTCAGAATCGAGCAAACTCGATGGCGTTGGAAAGATCATTCCACAAGCTTCGCAAAAATAACTGGAACTACTCCTAATTCATCCTGAGCTAGGAGTTATGACTGCTCAAAGTTGGCCAAAAACTCACTGATTTCCACACTTAACCAATTTTCTAGATTTTTGAAGTCCTTCCAAAAATGGCTATTTCCAATTCTAAACCTCTTCATAGTTATTTCAAATTGTCGGATGTTACAAGAGCCCTCAGATTCCAAGGAGTTATTCCTATCAGGTTTTGGGGTGAATGTGTCCTAACTGCAGTTTATTTGATAAACAGGTTGCCTACACCAGTGCTTAACGGAAAATCTCCATATGAGTTGTTTCATAAACACAAACCTGTAAATGCACACCTGAAAGTACTTGGTTGTTTGTGTTATGCAACTAAAGTTGTCAAAGTTGACAAATTCTCACCTAGAGCTACTGCTTGTGCATTGTTAGGATACTCCACAACACAAAAGGGGTATATTATTTTTTATCTACATGACAAAAGGTTCCTTGTTACTAGAGATGTACTTTTTTATGAAAATGAGTTTCCATTTAAAGGTAGCTCGTCACAGAACTTACTGTATCCTCCCACTTTGTCTACTGTCCCTTCTTATTTGGATGAGAGTGAGGATGAGACCTTGACTTTTGATAACCCTTCAGTATACTTCAATGATAATAATGAGAGATCCCCAGATAATGCAGCAAGAGATGTTATCATAAATACAGATCCTCCATCAGATTTGCCTCCACATGTTATGCCTGATTTAAGTTTAGTTCCAAAATTACTTGTTCCTCATGTTGCTCCCAGAAGGTCAGCAAGGATCACTGCACCACCTAGGTGGCATCAGGATTATCATACTGGCACCAAAGTTATCAAATCAGTTCCTCATCCTATGGCAAACTATGTTTCTTACCAACATATCTCTTCTCCATATGATGCATACATAGCTAAAATATCCACAGGAATGGAACCTTCCACTTATGAGGAGGCTGTAACAGATGCAAAATGGGTTGATGCTATGAAACAAGAATTGCAAGCTCTAGAAGACAATAGGACTTGGAGATTGGTTCCTTTACCTCCTGGTCACTTAGTAATTGGTTGCAAGTGGGTATATAAGATCAAATACAAGGCTAATGGTGATGTGGAAAGGTACAAAGCAAGACTTGTAGCTAAGGGATAAAATCAGACTACTGGGATTGATTATCAAGAAACTTTTTCTCCAGTTGTGAAAATGGTGACAGTAGGAATTGTCATTGCATTGGCTGCTGCTGAAAATTGGCCCTTGTTCCAAATGGATATGTATAATGCTTTTCTTCAAAGGGATTTGTTGGAAGAAGTTTTTATGGAAATACCTAAAGGTTTGCAGATTCAAGGGGAGAAACATATGGTCTGTAAGCTTGTTAAGTCTTTGTATGGACTAAAACAAGCATCTTGACAATGGAACTTCAAACTAACAGAAGCATTGGTAATCTCGGGGTATAAACAAAGTCCTTTGGACCATTTTTTATTCACTAAGAAGCAAGGGAACAAGATGGTAATCATACTGGTCTATGTGGATGATTTGCTCATCACTAGCAATGATACACAATTGATCCAGGATACCAAAAGGGTGTTACATCAGTCTTTCAAGATTAAAGACTTGGGAGAACTAAATTTTTTTTTGGGAATTAAATTCAGCAGGTCCAAGAAGGGAATTCGGATGAATCAGAGGAAGTATGCTCTAGAATTGTTAGCAGAAGCTGGTCTGACAGGAGGCAAAGTGGCTTTAACTCCTTTGGAGTGTAACATGAAGTTGACTATAGCTGAGATGAATGATGGTAACGGGGGAAATGAGTTTGTTGAACTGTTTGAAGATGTACAGCAATACCAAAGAATGATTGGAAAGCTACTCTACCTGACCATCACTAGGCCTGATATTTCTTATACAGTGCAGACACTGAATCAATTCATGCAGAGACCTACCGTACAACATTGGAATGCAACATTAAGAGTCCTAAGGTATATTAAGACTCAACCAGGGTTGGGATTATTAATGTCATCAGAAAAGGACATGAGACTAACAGGTTATTGTGATGCTGATTGGGCTTCATGTCCACACACTAGAAGATCTGTGATAGGTTACATTCTCAAGCTTGGTGAATCACTCATTGCCTGGAAATCTAAGAAGCAAGCAACAGTTTCCAGAAGCTCAGCTGAGGCTGCATATAGAAGTCTAGCAGGCTTGACAGTTGAAGTAGTTTGGGTTACTAATCTGGTTAAGGAATTGGAGATTCAGGTTGAAGGGCCAACATCTATATACTGTGACAGCAAAGTAGCCATCCAAATAACAGCAAATCTGGTGTTTCATGAGAGGACTAGTTTACTACTTTACTTTGATTAGATACCTTATGTTAGGATCGATTGGCCATATTTCGGGTATAGTATCATGTTAATCGGTTTAGTAGAGTTGCATGCTTATGTGCTAAATGTTATTGTATGCTTGTATGCTATGTATTGCATGCCTTGTTCATCCTTAACCGTAAGCATGATGTCCTTAGTCTAGGTTAGGCTAGCATTGCCTTAGACTTATGACCCGTGTGGGCTGGATAGCCTTGACTTGCTGCCGACGTCGTTCGGATGACTTAGCTCCTTGTAAACTAGAATAGCAAACTTGAGTCTGATAGTTTGAGCCTTAGATTAGGTGTTATCGCTACTTGCTCCACTTTTGTATCTTCTCCCTCTCATTCTGCGGTTTCGACGCATTCTCAAAGGTTTGGTGCATCACTCGAGGCGTGGGATTAAGATAGTATAGGCTTGGAGCTTTTTCTGTGATGTCTTAGAGTGGACGGCGTTCCACGGTGGTTGTTGTTGGATTGAATCCTATTGGAGATACTATCACCCCCGGGGTCGTTCTTTCTAGCTGGGCTGGAAACGTATCGCTGGCTGGGTAGACTCGGTGATATCGGTGATCCCCCCCGGGCCTTTCTTTCTAGCTGGGCTGGGAGTGTGCTGCTGGCTGGGTGTCCCTGGGTCTCTCTTTCTAGCTGGGCTGGGAGCTGACTGCATGGTAGGACGACTCGCGATATCTACCTCACTCATGGGTCCCTCTTTCTAGCTGGGCTGGGAGTGCACTGCTGGTTGGGTGGAGTCTGATGGATTATCTTAATTACTTTGGGATGGGAGCCCGATTTTCTTCTTTCTCAGTAGACTTAGCTTTTCCGTGTACCTATCTGGCATATGGGGGTTCGTTCAGGTTTTATTTGAGCTTGTGCACGAGTGTACCTTCTGGGCATATGGGGTCCAGTTAGGTTTAGTTTAGTTGTACTTAGTTTGTTTCTGGTATGCTCGTGTGCTTTCTTTTCTTATCCACTTTGACCTCTCTGTGTCTAGATTCTATCCTTTCTTTGTTTTTACCCTTTTTGCTCAGTTGGCCTATGATGCCTACTGAGTACCTGTTGTGTTGGTACTCATGCTACGCTCTGCATCTATTTCGTGATGCAGGTCCCAGTACCAGTTACCAGCGGTGATTAGTTCCAGCCTTCTTTTGCAGCTGTGATTCGGAGACGAGGGCGAGCACTTGGTATTTTGGGGTTTGTTCTGTCTTCTTCTTTTGTTTTAGCTAGTCTTGTTGCCTTTGAGACACACTCTGTTGTGGTCCACTTTTGGGACTTGTACTCTTTATTAGATAGCTCTGTACTAGTGACTTCCAGGTTCTGGGAGGGATTTCTTTATATATTTATTTTGGGTTGCTTCCGCCTTGTTATTCTTGTTTAGATTATTGTTGTCGTTAGTTTCTGCCCTTTCGCTCATTGTTTGATGTTCTGGGTTACGGGTTGGCTTACCTATTGGTAGGGTTTAGTAGGTGCCATCATGACTCGAGAAATCGGGTCGTGACACTAACTGATGGCTCCAATTTCAATTTCTCACAATAATATATCTCTATTTTCTTCAAGGTTTTCGGCAGACTGCTAATAGGCAAGGAGGTAAGAGAGTGAGAACTTCTGATTTTTAATGACTCTAGCTGCATCATTCCTTGAAGTTGGGAAGCAAATAGATCAGCATGATCAAAAAGAACTCCAACCTTTAAAGAACCGACAACTTCAAACCATTTTATACTTGAAAGTTGGATAGGTGTCTCCAAAATAAATTCCGGACAACCTGAAATTGTCAATCGTGTCAAAGAACAAAGATTTCCAGGCAATTTCCCCATCAACTTGGGACAGTTTTTAATTGAAAGGTTCTGAAGTGCAGGGAACTCTCCACTTCCTAGTACATGCCATTGCTTCCACCCTTTCATCTGATTAAATTCAAGCCATTCAAGAGAGTTAAATGGCTTTATTGAAGATGGGCTACCATAGAATTCTTCGGTCACCTCTGTTATTCGATCCATATACCCAATGGTGAGGACTTTCAAAGAAGGAAGTTGTCCTAGTGCTGGCAAGGAATCACAGTTGTTGCAGTGGCTAAGAGACAACTTCACTAGCTTAAAAAAGGAGTAATCAGCCAACCAGTTCGGAAATTTTGTCCCTCTATATCCGGAGATTTTCAGTTCTTTTATGTTTGTGTTTGGTTGTAGATCATCGAGAATGTCTTTTTCAGTTTGTGAATTATCAGCAATACTTCTACCCCACAACAATGATAACCTCTCAATATGCTCATTTTCCCTCATGTTCACCTTCAAAGCTTCCCTTCTATCAACCACATTTTGCAACTCTACAATTGATAGAGATCCATACAAGTTGCAGAGTTCACCCAAATCTTTGAGTTTCAAACCACTTGGAAGACATGCAACTCCTAATAGCACCTGGAGGCTTTTCAACTTGCTAGGATGTAGCGGCATCTTCAACCGAGAACAACAACTAATGTCAAGGTAACACAAGTTGATCAAATTTCCCATCTGCAGCGGTAACTCCTCAAGATAATCACAAGACGACACAATAAGTGTCTCTAAGTTGTGCAACACACAATTGAATCTGGTAACTATTTTATATTTGTCCAAGAAAGGTCCAAAAATCTTAGGAGTTTTAATTTGATAAATAAGACATTCGGTAACTCCTTGATGTCATAACAAGAAAATGACAATGCCCTTAAAAATGTTAGTCTTGGAAGTATGTTATGCAGCACCTTCTTGCTTAGATTAACTGGAAAAAAAATGGTGCTGGATATTTATCGGAAGCAATGTCCTTAATTGCTCCAATTTGTAGAGGGTTTTCAATTTACCAAAATCACCATCTCCTCTTGAAAATGACGAAAACTTACCATCACCCATGGAATACGACAAGTGTCGAGTTCGTTCCAACATATGAGATCCTTCGATGTCTTCCAACCTGGTACAGTGTTTTGAAGATGCAATTTGGGCAAGATCATTGACAAGGTCATGCATAAAGAATTTCCCCGAGTCAATTTGATGAGAATATTTTTGCAGGTCCTTAATTGGGAATCCCCCTGCCTTCCATTTAAAAGAATCAGGGACCCTGTCTAACAATGATCTTGATCTCAACTCGAGAATGTACTGGTTGCCTAGTTCTTTAACCGTTTCATATTTTTGCAACTTCTGTACTAGACCATTAGCGATCCACAATTGAATGACTTGTTCTTTGTAAAACTGATAATCTTTTGGAAATATTGCACAATAGGAAAAGCATTGCTTCAAATGTGGGGGAAGCTCATTGTAGCTCAACATCAATGCTGCTAAGATTCCATTGTGTGGAAGCTCCCATATTTCACTTCTCAAAATGTGTTTCCACTCTTCAATCGTTGATTTTAAGAGTAACATCCCAGCAAGGGTCTTTATAGCTAAAGGCAATCCTTTGCATTTCTCTGCAATTTTCTTTCCAATCTCTTCAAGTTCTAGATGTTCCTCAAGATCCCTGTTTTCTAATAAATGTCGTTTGAATAAAGCCCAAGAAACTTCATTAGACAGAATCCCCACATTCATTGCCCCACCACCCATCATCAAGGCAACACTCTCCTTACTTGTTGTCACAATGATCTTACTTCCGAGATCTCCTTGCACAAAAAGATTTCTCAAGTCATCCCACTCATTATAGTTTTCATTCCAAACATCATCTAGAACAATAAGAAATTTTTTACCCTTTAAGCTCTCCTCCAATTTGATCTGAATCTGATTTATATTATCATTAACCTGTAAAGCAATCCGTTTGCTATTCTGAAAGCATCATATTGTTCAGACATACAAAACCAAGCTTTCAAATCAAAATGGTCGTTCACCTTCTCATCATTGTAAACAGCTTTAGCAAGTGTTGTCTTGCCCACGCCCCCCATTCCAACAACAGGGATTACAGTCAAACTTCTACCATTTGCATCAACAGATAATAAACGGCCCACCAATTCCTCTGTTTCACTCTGCCTACCAAATATATCAGATTCATCAACCACAGAAGTTGAAGGTCTTCTAGTTTATTGTTTAGCCGAATCAAGACACGATTTCAAGTCAAGACAACCAATTTGCTTTTGCAACTCCTCCAATGTTTCAATATTTTCTTCCAACTTATCCTTTATGTTAAGAAAAAATTCATCACTCAAGGACAAGCTGAGGTGACTTACTTGCTGGTTGCTTGTTTCTGCAAGCTGGCCTTCCACCTTAAGCCTCAAAGCTTCATAATTGACTTCTTCAATTAAGTTCTCAGCAGAGTCCACAGCATCTCGAAGCTCATTAAGCCAGTCGCTCACAGATGGATTTGATGCCTGCTTATTCTCTGCATCACTTAGCACAATCTGAAGACCACGCAAAGTCATTTTAAGCTGAACATAATCCTTATGTTTCCGAAACATGTTGAGCAGATCACCGTTAGGAGAAAGCCTATCAAAGAGAACATTCAAAGTTGAAGAGAGAAATGCACCACCAACTTCTAAGCCAATCTCCATTTCTGAAATCTGAAAAACAAAACAAAGAATCAAAAAATGGACAAGAATGGCAAAAATTAAAGATGGTTGTCTATTTTTGCTAGGAATTAAGAGATTGAATTTACCTGTTGAATGCTAGAGAAATATGCAAACAGTATGGTGTTCATAATTTGAAATTGCTATACCAATAACTATCTCTTTGGTCAAAGAAAGAAAAGAGAAACAATCCTTTTTCTCTTTTCAAAAAGATAGCATTTTTCCACAGCTTAGTTGTCTCCCTCTTCACTTTGTCATATTTTACTTTATTTTTTCTTGACTTGAGTATCAAATTCCATACAATAATAATTTATTATTGGGTGGACACTACCTTTATATAAAGGAAATGAGTAATATAATTCTAAGAAAGTAGGATTTGAATTATTGGGTGGGTCATGCTCAAGATGATTATGATCTGCACTTACCAAGAAAATTCATACTCAAATAGACCAATCTGAAATTAAATGTAAAAGAAGTGTTGTTACCAATTTGTGTTTAAAAACAACAATGCTGATTATCAGAAACTTTGCAGAAACACGAAGTTACCAAAGTTTCCAATGAACCAATGAAGAATAGAAGAACAAAAATTAATTCAAAAAAATTAAAATCTGTAAAGCATACCATAATTTGAAAAGACATAATGGAAAAAGATCAAGCCCACTGAATGCACAGTGTCCCCTAAAAGAAATTATTCCCCTCTAGTATCCGAGGTTTGATTTGGAATGTGTCCTCCCAGGATAGAATGATCTCAATCACCAGTGTATTGATACCCAAATCGCTGGTGTCAGTGAGCCACTCAACGGCAGTAAAGCACACGAAAAATATTTGTGCAGAAGAAGAAGAAGAAATCAGAATTTTTTGTAAGTAAAAAATTCTGAAGAATAACTGGTATTTATAGCCAAGAGGAACTGATTCCGAAAGGTTGCAACCTTTCAGAATCCACACAGCCATTAATGAAAGTTTGCAACCTTTCAAACGGTCATGACTGTTCATGAAAGTTGCAGCCTTTCAGAACAGTCATTTCTAATTGCGGGAAATTTAAATAAAATGGGAAAGTTTAAATAAAACGGGTCACATGCGGATCCGAGTCGGGTTGGAACGTTTCGGTTAATTAACTAATTAATTGAAACGTTTTGACCATTTAATTTAATTTAATTAATTAACTAAATAATTAAAAAAAACTTTGTCTCAAAAATAATATCTCAATTGATCAATTTTCAAAGCCAAAGCCGAGCCAGCGACGACGACGACGTCGCGAGGGGGGTCCCTCTTTCCAACCCTTTTAACAATTAATAGACATGTTTCTATATTTAAACTCTTCTATTTTTCCTTCCACCACCGATGAGGGAGAAATGCCTTTTTTACTAAAGCATAAGAGGACTTTTCAAGCTCCTCTCTTTTCATCTTCCCTTCATTTCCCATTAACTCTTGATATATACCCAACAAACCCCCACATGAATGGGGAATGGTTATAACATAAGGAATGCACGGACGAGTGTGTACTTTACAAGCAAGGATCAATTGCATCTGGATAAGTAGGTTTCACCTTGGACTTTCTGTAGTGAACATATATCGGATATACTCTGTCAATCGGTAGATGTGATATCTTTGAACCATCGAGCTTTGGTGTATACCTAGACAACCATATGTCAC